TTCTTACTAATTCCTTACTGCCTACCTGAAACAACAAAAGGGGGTAATAGTCTGAGGGCCGTACTAGGGAAGGAAGCTTCTTCCTTACATCTTTAACTCTGACCCCTGGGAGGCAACAGACCTCCCTGTGCAGTGGGTCTGGTCTGCATATTGGGCCTTCTGTTCCCTTAAGCAGTGAGTCACCAATGACAATGACCCGTCTTTTATCCCTTACGGATGAGGTTTTAATGCCGACGGCAGTCTGACTAGGCTTTGGTGACACCTCAAGCAGGGAGAATCATCATCCTCACTGTTATCCAGTTCCCCTTGCAGAGCACTGTACCTGTTACGCAAGGACAGCTGGGGAGGTGGGGGAATTGCCAGGCAGTTACGCTTGCCACTCCGAGCAGGGACCTGTGCCATTGCCCCCTGTCCCCTGATTCCTCACATTCCCTGATCCCCTCTAACCTCTCCACTTCTTTCAGCTCTGCCACAACCAGATTATGGAAGTTGTCAATTTCCCTTTCGCTTTCCCTAATTTTTCTTAACCTACTTACCTCCTCCCTGAGCTCCAACACTTCATCCTGGAGCTGCGCCACCCAGTTTAGCAGGTCATCAACCTGCTCGCGCCTCACGCAGCCATCCTCAGGATTGCTCCCAGCTACCAGGGAAAAGGTATGACATTCCTCACAGCCTGTGACCTGAACACCAATATCCCTTCGAGTGGGTGCAGAAAGCACAATTCTCCTCCTCCGAGAAGCCACCATGACTCCCTGATAAAGTGGAGCCCTTCAACCCTGTCCAACGAGCTGTAAGCAACAGCAGTTGTCCCCTTGTTAGGCAGGAACAATAGGCTTGCTCCCACCAAATAACTCATAAGCTGACGTGTATTGACGTTTTTCTGTGCTGTTTCATTAGAGGGGCAAATTGCAAAATAAACACAGAATCTGAATACGAGATAGTAAAGCAGTCTGAACACCAAACTGTAAAAGGCTGTGCTACACTTTTCATTCCCAAACCTTCCTTCAGCTCTAAAACCTCACTTGGTCACTAAATTCAGCTTTACTTAAGCCACTCTAGGATCCCGTACAACTAATCCTTGTCCCAACAAAAACCATGCTGCATTCAGCATAGTTAGTCTCTTTTATACAAGCGCTTCACCTCTTCTCAAGTAGCACTGATTTTATCTAAGATTACACTTAGAGAAGCGGCAGCATACAAAATGTTTTTCAGGGCTACAGTTGTCCATGTGGGTCTGTGTTCAGACTCCCATACCAGAGCAGATCCCCAAGGGTTGGCATCGGCCTCTTTGGGATTAGTGGGAGAGCACTCTGTGACCAAGAGTTGCAATTTTAATTCTTCACAACTTTTCGTAGATTTCTAACTTATTATGAAATTATGCTGTCCTAAGCATAGACATTGATTTTTCTTCTTAATTAAACTACTTTCTCCCCTCACCCTAGAATATTTATATTAACAATTGATTTTCTTTTCCTTCTATCTTTTAATTTAGCAAGCTTCTCAGCCTCTTATTCTCCACAGCGTGGAATTTGAAGATGCTTTGGCTACACTTTGCATCATGGTTGCACCTATGGCTCCGCACGTTGCATCAGAGATGTGGAAAGGTATTTCTAGAAATAAACTTTTTATTGATGTTCCAGGAAAAAAGGCAAAAAGTTTGCAGAAATGTCTATAACACTGTGCATGTGTCACTTATTCCTGAATTCTGCATCTATTTTGTCACCTTTTGTCATAATTCCTAAACAAACTTGAAACTTGTGATGTTCCCAGATCTCTCTTTCTGTTTCTAGTTTCTTTACCCTTGCATACAAAGATGGATTTCTTGAGACTAGGCAGAGAAAGGGAAAAGGAAGAAAAATTCAAGACAGGACTTGCATGAGGAATTCATCTGTCAGCTGCTAACTGCTCCTGTATATGGACAGCAGTATTAAGAGCTGAACGTGAGGACAGAAGCAGCGCTTTTTCAAACAAATGTTTCAGAGTCTTTGGACTACAAATGTTTTCTTTCAGGAATTCAGACAAAGAGGACCATGTCAGAGGGCTCTGTACTAAAAAGACTAAAGGAGTGTTCAATAAAAACCCTACTCTTGTAAAATTCTCCAGAGACTGAGGGACATTATGCTGCAAATTAACCTCGCTGGGAGAATGGGAATGGTAGACAGGAAATCTGTTTTAAGATCTATCACAATTGTAAACCTTGAGGTCTGAATCCCAAGTGGGCTAAGTTGTGTGGTGCTGCTACAGTTAAAGCCTGTTTAAAGCCTGTGAAATAAGGGATGTGCATGCCAGAGCTCAGCAGTTGCTTTTACGGTTTATTGGGAGAAGTCCCAAGACGTATGTGGGAAGATAGGAATATATTCTGCATTAAGACTGGCCACAAATTGCTGTGTGGTTTTGGACCTAATGTTAGCTTTTGGATGCTGTTTTAACAGCTTTCTTTTCAACAGTCATCCTAAAACTTTGCGCATTCAAGTGTTTACTGAGCACAGCGACTTAATAGCTTATATATTTCAGAGCTGTGCATGGCCCTGTAGTAATGTTAACTGCCAAAGAAAGGCTGCTCTTGTTCATAGCAATGACATAGGGGCAGAGACTCTGAAAACAGCAAGATACATTAGGGAGAGTGTTTTTTTTTTTTCTGTGTTTTCATTTCCAATGTTAATTTTCCAATAATAAGATGTCATAATAAAAGCCTAATTGTTTAGAATAAAGAGTGGCATCAGACATGATCCATCTGGAGAAAGCTACTTGTGGTCAATATTCTCTTACAATATGAAGTACTATCTAATTAAAATTAGGCTTAAATGAAAATAATTGCCACAACTTTGTTTTCCACATTGGTTGAGATGGAGGCAGAAGAGGCCCAGGCTAATTACTTAAACGTACAGTGCCTTGTGAACTTGAAATTCAAATATATGTTAGGGAATACAGAAATATCAAATATGTTTGATAAATTGACAAGACTACAATATCTTCATTAACATAACTTGTCAAATGTAAATCTTAATCCTGTAACATTTTGAATGTTAGAGAAGAAAGTCTTTTCTTACTGCTAAAATCACTGGATAATGAGAATGATAAACCTTTTCTGCAGCTCTTTTCAGTAAGCGTGAAAAGGGAGCATAATAAAAATTGGGAGTGTATTGTCCTTGACTTCTGTCTGCATTTAAAGATAAAATTTTGCTTGTGTGCTCCAAAGACTGTGCTTTGTAATTCAGTGCAACTAGCATAAAAGAACATTGTGTGGTGATTATTACCTGAAGAATTTTATGACTGAACATGAAAAACACAATCTCTTTTAGCATGGTCATCATTACATTCCATCAAAGTTATAAAACAATTTAATGAGAAGAACATATGTACATTGAACTACTGTACTGTGGTAAGAAGACTGTATTTTTTTTTAAATAGCCAATATCTAGCAATTCTGTCCTAGGATTGGAACTTCTGGTGAAAAATGTCCAACTATATTCTAGAAGCAGATTCCCCAAGTTAGTGTTCTGAATTGCACTCTGGTTCCATCAAGTCTTGTCACTCTTCTGATTTCTTAAACTTTATTATGCATAGGTGATGATGGTTTATTATTTTAAATAATAAAAATATAAAATAATAATATTAAAATAGAAAAAATAAATAATATAAAAATCAGATGTTTTAAATATTCTGTTTAGTTTTCTTTGTGCTTTAGCTCTCCATATACGCTCAAACTCTCTCTTTTTGTACATAGGCTTTGCATCTAAAAAGTAGATAGTGCTGCTTCCTCTCTCATAAATAGGCAGGAAGAGGACTTTGTATATTATTAGCTCTATAAATAGCATGTATAGCAGTGGACCCTGACACTTTGATGGAAGCCTCCGTCTGCTGTTGTAATGCCAATAATAAACAACACATGAACAATGTATTTATAATTAAATACTGACATTTCATTCTAAAATAACTTGTATGCAGCCTTTACATTTTGTTTGATTTAGTGCATAAAGCAAGGAGCATTTTTCTTTCTACAGGGGAAAATGAAACTGGGAAATTTGGAAGCCCTGTACTTAATATCAAACAGATAATTCTGCAGTTGAGTAGGAATGCTGGTAGGAAGAGTGTCTTTTTGTGTTAACTCTGAACCACATTAAGCTTCCTTATGTATTTAAGCTTTCTTTTAAGAAAAAAGATTTGCTTTCTTATTAGTGTTTCTCATTAGAAACAGATATGCCTAATACTAATTTTACTACAGCCTTAAAAGAGAGAGAACAAAAGAGCATCCTCATTAATTTTGACTGTTTGCATTGTGCTTCACAGGATGAATAATACTTTTACTGTTGCATTGTAATCTTTCCTTTTAAGCTTTGCTGATCACTGATCATGATCAAGAAACACTTTAAGAAGAAATTACAATACAATATAAAACTAAATGTGAAATAATTACAACCTACAGTAAGACCCTGACTTAATGTATTGTATATTAAGTTAATTCTGCCAAAGATTTGAAGATAATTAAACCACAGAACTATAGAACTTTCAGGATAAGCACCTGGAATTAGGCTCTGTGGAGGTAATAAAATAACGTTTGGCAACTGGAAGCTCTTCTGCAGGTGCAAACAGTATTTTTTTCAGTTTAAATGACAGGTGTGCTGGAAACTGAAAAAAAAATCAACAAACTTTTTTCCTATTCTAGTTTGGGAATAAAAAGCTAGGCAAAAGAGACTAGCATCTATAAATATTAAAATCTTGAAGGATCTGATGTCCAAAAAGTCTGATACAGTTAGTTTTATTAAGTAATTACATAAAATATTCTCCTTTGCTTGAAAAAAAGCATTTAACTGCAAAACATGATATATTTTAAATAGCTAAAAAAATTTCTTAAATACTTGCATTCTGAATGCATTTATATTTAAATAGCAAAAAATGCTTTTTTACATTTTAATTTATTTCCTTTTCAATCTAAAAGCTATTTGAGACAATGAAATATATTAAAAAAAAAGCAAGTCAGTATTTTCTAATATAATAGCTTGTAAAAATTAAAACTTGGCTAAGTGTATAAATATTTATGTAGACATCCTCTTGGTTAGCGAAATGTTCTTTACAGCTGGATTTAACTGCAGATCAGTCCATCTTAATGATTACCAACTAATGAAAATATTAGGAAAATTACAAAAATAATTTTAGAGTGTTAAAGATATTTTTCATGGCATTTTAAGTAATGACTAGCATCAGTGGTATAAGTAGTTGTGATTGTAATAAAGCTATCCTGCTCTGTAGGAGTTGCATCAGAGTTCATTTGAAATTTTAGCTTTTTAGTCTGCTATGTTTTCTTTGTTAGTTTGTTGATAAGCTTTGCAAACTCAGAACTACAGTTTGATATCCCAAGGATGCTTCTGGGGTAATGTTCAACTTTTAGGTACACTTCAAGTAAAATTAGGTACATTCAAGATGCAGCAATTTTTGTTCTGCAGCTGAAGAATTATTCTCCCATGGGGTTTAGTTTGTATGTGACCATCTTGTTTTCATGCCTCAGGTAGGAATGAAGAGTTTGGTCCCTTTGTGAGCCAGATGAAGAGCGTACTTCAGTAATGGCAGTAAATATTTCCAGTTTGAGGGAAGGGAAAAGCTGCTTGAATGCTGTTTGATAAGTGCCTCACCTTTCAGCAGCTGAACAATAGTAACCCAGTGCTTTGGTATTTTGTGTGCAAAGGAGTATTTTCTCCTGCTTAGAGGAGGAACAGTTTTAGTATTTTCGTGTGTCAACCTAATGGTTTTAATTGTGCAGTGAATACACTGGTTTATTGCTTAATAACATAAAAAGCGACTGTAGCCCCTCAGTGTGGGAAGAGTTCATCTGGCTGATATCTTGGCAGTTTATGAACACTAACAGGATGAGGAAATCTGTTTCCTTCCTGAAGCCTTGTATCTGAGGAATATACAGGCACCATTTGAGACGTGGGGGTTTTTTTTGTTTGTAGTAGTACAGTATTTTGCTCTCCAGACAAGGATATGAAACTGCTTATTGTAAGCTGTTACATTTTTATTAGAGATAGCACATGAAAGATGTACACTGATGATAAACACATCTTAAGATCTATTGAAACATAATTATTGGAATTTGTAATGGTATAATTCTTAGTAACATTTTAACTGTCATTGCAATAGCTCTATTCAAGTATTTCTTTGTCTCATTCAGTCCTTCCTCAAAGAAGGCTTTTGTAAAGAATAGAGTTGAGTAGAAGGTAATTGATGTTGCAGATTTTAATTGAAAATCTGAATGCAGAAGTCCCCCTTCACAAATCCAAGAAGTACAATTTGGAATAAAAAAAAAAAAATTTCCTCCAAGAGTAATAACCCAAAGTGAAGGATAGTGAGTCTATACAAATGGAGGAAGGCAGATCATTTTCAGAAGGTTAAAAAGATTCACGTGGAGTTTGCTGAATTGGAAACACGTTCTACAGTTAGCTTTTCATAACCTGGGCTTTTCACAACCCTCCGTGGTGCTCCACAGCTGTCACTAGGGAACATGTAAAATGAATCCCCTAGTACTGTATTGAGTAAATGTAAATTTTCCTGACTTTACCCAGTTCTGTAGTACTATATCAGTAGTATAATACATTTTTTTTCAGAGCTGTCTGTAAACAGCTGTTATTGTATTGCTATCATATCTTTGAGATTGCAGACCATTTCACATACAATTGACAGACATATTCCTCCTGGGCTGCAGAAAGGTATTCCAGATATGCAGCTTGCCTGAATCTGTCAAAAAGGAAGATTCATTAAATAGTAAAAAAGCATATCAAGAACAAAGTAACGTGGTAACAATTCTGTCCTTCAAAGAGGCTGCAGAGGCGAATAAGATACTGACCCAGAATGCATCTCCGCTTGCTGTTACGTACTCCTGCTCTGAGCTTTTTTAAAACTTTATCTGCTTGTCAGCTAGTGTGGTGGATTTTTACTTAACACAGATTTCTATTGTTTTGATTTTGCTAAAGCCAAAAGTTATCAACATTTGGATAACGCACCCTCATAGTCGCCTTATACCTCCCCCTCCGATCTTCTTATATCTCCTGTTAGAAAATCCCTAGTCCTAAACTCTGATACCGAGGTTGCTTCAGATGCCTGCATTAACTTCCATTTATTGACCATTAAGAATTCCATCCTTCTTGCCTGTTCTCCTTTGTTAACCTCTCTATGCCGGCACTCATCCCATGCCAGCTCTTACTCAGTTTACTCCACAATCACATCTTTTTCTCCTGCCTACATAATTTTGTGTCAAATTAGCTGCACTGTTGCTGGAATTTTACCGATCATTTTTTCTAGTGCTTTTTTTCTGTAAGGCTAGAATTACCTTGCTGTCCTAACTTGCCTTGCTGATATACTATGGCTTCCACATCTCCCTTTTTAAATCTCTTTAAAATGAAAATCTGCTCTTCTGCCCAAATAGCACCTTAAGGGAACTATTATGTTTATGAAATACTCAGCACATGCTAATAAAACACTGCCATGAGCTGAGACATTGTTAGACTTGTCCTGTCCCCTCCTTTGCCCAGAGAGGTGGTAAACACCTCATCCCTGGAAACAATCAAGGTCAGGTTCAACAGGCCTCTGAGCAACCTCATCTAGTTGAAGACGTCCCTGCGCATTACAGGGTGGGTTGGACTAGATGACCTTCAAAGGTCCCTTCCAACCCAAACCATTCTATGATTCTCTCAACTGACTCATTTGCAGCATACATTTAACTTTAGTATTTTGACTTGGGCTCCAATGCTGTGAATTACTGGTTAGGGAAACCTTGTTTAAATATTTGCTAGTCAGTAAAAGTCCATTGAAGCAGATCCAATTCTAGGATCAGGCCTTCACATTGAGCACAAATGATGTCCTTGATCTGTCCTGAAAGATGGCTGTACATGCAAGTATATGGATTACAATAAGTAAAAACGTACTCAGTTGTCTTTCTGTCCTACATCTGCAAGAGAATGTATAGCCATAAAAGCAAAACAAGACAAAAAATGTAAAGCAAAATGCATGTAGCTTCATAATATGCACTTTACTATGTGCCTTCCAGTACAGGTTTCTAATGTTTTCACAATAAAAGTCTATGAAATGGTCAGTTCTTAACTTCTCAAACAGCGCCATTGTGTAACGTCTCAGAATCAAGTGGGAAGGCTGGAGGAGGCTTCTGCCTGGGTCCTGACAAGTGGACTGTTGCCATTCTGGGTCATGGCAATGAAGCTTCTGGTTTTGTATGTGTTGCATTTTGAAAATGCAAACCAAATCATTGCATTTTCTGAGTTCTGCAGCTCACAAAATGTGAATTAAGGCAGGAAGCCAAACAGGCAACATAACTAAAACCTTCATTTTGATTTTCTGTCAAACTCTGTTTAATGAAACTAGTTCTGTTGACTTTTGCACTTTCTATTTTTTTTAATATGGATGAACTCATAGTTCATTTTGTAGCAAGAAAATGAACCAGAAGATGGACATTGTGCTTAGTCACACTTTATCTGCTTCAGAATATATTTTAGTTTTTTTTTTAGTAGGTTTATTAGGACTGCTAGCTTCCACAGGCATTAAAAGTGACCCTGGTTTTCCTCTCGTAGATAGAAGCTCTTGACTTCTATCAGTAAGTGGGTTTTAAATAGTTTGAAGAATCCACTTCAACAGGAAAATAAGGAGTGGCTAGTATGCATGCTTCTGCCACAAGGCATGTGATCAGTTGGAAAGAAATGAGCTCATCTGGATGTTCACAAGCCAAAAAGGGAAGAATTTAGCAGCTGTTGTCTTTAAAGTCAATGTGATAATGAATCACCAATGCAAAGATTTTCTTCTGTTTGATATTCCTATTTTTTGCTCTTTCAGTTTCTGAGCTGCTGTCGCAAGAGAAAAAAAATACACAATCCAGATCCATTAAAGTGTTTTAAACAGTTGGCAAAGATTTTCTTCTGTTTGATATTCCTGTTTTTTGCTCTTTCAGTTTCTGAGCTACTGTGGCAAGAGAAAAAAAATACACAAATCCAGATCCATTAAAGTGTTTTAAACAGTTCTTTACCTAATAAGATTGTGACTTAGTTGTTATTCTTAGGAAATGTGCACGTTCTTGCTTGCCATTAGAAATAGCGTCCACCGCACTGCCCCTTTCTGAATCATTCAGCACATAGCGAGGCTGTGTGTCATTTTACCAAAGTCCTTTGTCTGAAAAAGTGCTGACAAAACTCTGGTGGATTTTTCTGGAGGAAGTTGTATTGCCTTTATGTTTCTGTTTGCTGTTATTTGCTGTATTAGTTGAAACCATGTCTGTATGTATTATGCATGGGTTGGTTTGGTCCTATGCCTGCTCTTGTACTGTGTTTTGAACAGCTTCTGGTACCTCAGTCTCAACAGTGAATCTTGTGTTGATGGGTTTTCTTTATGCTTTTGCTGGAGATTCCCTAAACCAGATGAGATTTCAAATACATTTTGCAGTTCCAAATGAAGCATGTGCTTAAAAAAAGTTTTAGTCTGTATTCTTATTCATATGCAGAGAATGTTTTTGATTTAAAAATCCTCTGGCTTTGTGAGAATCACAAGAGGAGTCATCATCAATATTGATGATATTTGACAGCCTCTTGTTAAGTGAAATCATTTTATTTTGTTCTACAGCTGGAGTAAACAGCAACCTAAATCTGACTCAGACGCTTTCATTCTGTTAAGAATGCTGCTTCAGAATGAATTGCATCCTATTCTCCTATTACTTAAACAAATCAGGAATAAATTGTCTTGGGGAGAGCAAAGCCTGTTTAATAAAAGGATATCACTGCCATTTGAAGGGGGTTTTAAAAATAAAATCAAAGGATAAAGCATTTCAGAATGTACGTATCATAAGCAGAGCAAGCTGTGCAAGGTATTCTTACGTAGCACCTTTAATTTGTGAAAAAATAGGTTCTAAAAACATCAGAAAATCTTGCAAGTAGCTTGACTTGCAAATTTAGAAACTACGCAGCATATTACAGATGGAAATAATAAGCCAAACTTATGTATCATTTTGATTGTTAGTAAAATGTTAATCAAACTAGTGGTGTTACTGGAAAAAAGTGCAGTATTTTGATTTCTAGAAGTAGAGGTCAACTTGTGTTGCAGTATTACAATTTAAAATAATAAACAGTGGTCTTCTGAGCTTTTGACAAAGTTTTGGAGTGCTAATCCAAATCTAAAATGTGCCCACAACGTTCATGTTAGCATCCCTACAGATGGTATAAAACAAGCGCCTCGAAGATGTATATCTTTCTGTTTATAATGTGCTGTATGCTAATCTAAACAATGTTATTTCCTCCTAAGGGACTTACTTTTAAAGTCAACTTTATTCTGATCTTATTTATCAAACAAATTCCAAAGATCAAATGTTCTGGTTAGAGTACAGCTGAACATTTGACTGGTTTCATTTTCCAGGTTTGGGACACATGCAGAATAAACTTTGTACTCATCATCACTGGGATGTTGATGTGCTGCATCAGTCCTGGCCCAAAGTAGACCCAGAGTACCTTCAGCCATCAGATGTTGTGGAGATGTCTGTTCTGGTAAGAACACTTTCATTTATTCTCAGTGGTGGTCAATTAATCCATTATGAGCTCTGAGGATGACAAAATTTCTGCTCTTGTGGAAGTCAGTTCCCTTCTTGCGTGGCTCAGTGAAAGGTCAGATAGAATAGAAGCTGCAATTACCATTGTGCTGAGTAATTAAAATTATTTCCTAAATGAAAAAATGTAGCAAGTCTGGAAGAGAGACCATCTAAATATAAATATTTTTCAGTAACAGCATATTAGCGCAAATTTGACCAATGAACTGCTGAGGGCAAGAGTGGTACAGTGAAAACTGTGATCAAAATACAGATTCCTCCAGATTTTTGCCTGACTGCGTTTATGATCTTGGCCCTGTAAAAAAATGTATTAATTAGGTGGCATTTCTTGTGGTACCTGTAGTGCTATGGTTGCCTAATACCGTTTATCATAAACTGGATTAAGTTGCTGTGATTTTTGCCAAACGATGTTTCCTGTCTGCCTTGGGCTGAACATTTGGCACATTTCAGCAGAGCATACTTGCAGGAATGAGGTTGAGGAAAAACAGGTATCTTTCCTAATGTTCGAACTGCATTCCAGTTTCTCTTTCAGCTCTAACACCTTTGTGGTCTACGGAAAGAGCCGGCAGTGCAGTAGAAGAGTGGACATAAAGCTTTTAACATTTAATTAACCTGTAATTTTCCAAAACTTGTATGTGCACACGCACAGTGTAGTTTTACTGTCTTTTTTCCTATGTGTCTAATTAAGTAGTCTGTATACAGCATCATTAAGCTTTACATGGAGCACAGTAGCAGCAAGTGCCACTGCAGGCCATAGAGAGCCTGTGGGGCTTGAAGCCGGGGGTGGGATCCATGAGTAATGTCTCAGCTCTTCCATCAACTGGCTCCTGGTCAACTTAGATTCAAATGCTTCATGCTCAGGTATTATGGTAGTCTGTAATTACGTAGTTGCATACTATTAGAGCTGCAGGACTTCTGCCTTTTTCACTGCTCACCAAAGAATAACCTTTAATATAACACGCAGACATTCTAAACTTAAATATTTTAACTTAAATGTTTCATCTTAAACACTTCGTATGTTTCTGGATATTGAATGAGATGGAGCCTCTAGAAGAAATGTCATTTGGTCATGTAGAAACTGCACGCTCTGCATGTGTGTGTGTGTAAGGGAAACAGAAGCAATGCGTTTTATCTGTATTTTATCTGTTTTATTATGTTAGCTCCTTTGGGTAGGAGGAGTAAGTTCAGTTATTTTTGTTCAGCTGGGTTTTTTGAAGAGGAAAGAGACTGGCTGGATTTAGGGGAAGTTGTGCTGCTGTAGATTTCCTCAATCAAAGTATCTTTGCAAGTAATTTCATATCTTGCCAGATCTCTCAGTCACAGTTCACTTGGACAGAACAAGAAATGCTGCTAAAAACCTAATTTTTCTAATGTTCAACATACATGCTTAGCAGAGACCACAGAGTATGTCTTTTTGGAGGAAATTTTCAATTAGCAGCTTTTCCCAAACCAAGGAGGAGGTCTGAAGTGCCAGCTGGAGTTAATAGCAGACTTAGCCTAATATTCTTTCTTCCTTTCTTCCTTTCTTCCTTTCTTCCTTTCTTCCTTTCTTCCTTTCTTCCTTTCTTCCTTTCTTCCTTTCTTCCTTTCTTCCTTTCTTCCTTTCTTTCTTCCTTTCTTCCTTTCTTTCTTCCTTTCTTTCTTTCTGTCTGTCTGTCTGTCTGTCTTTCTGTCTGTCTGTCTTTCTTTCTGTCTGTCTGTCTGTCTTTCTTTCTGTCTGTCTTTCTTTCTGTCTGTCTTTCTTTCTGTCTGTCTTTCTTTCTGTCTTTCTTTCTTTCTGTCTTTCTTTCATTCTGTCTTTCTTTCTGTCTTTCTTTCTTTCTGTCTTTCTTTCTGTCTGTCTTTCTTTCTGTCTGTCTTTCTTTCTGTCTGTCTTTCTTTCTGTCTTCCTTTCTTCCTTTTCTTTCTTTCTTTGTATTTATACCAGTGAAAAGGTCTTATATCCACAAAAATCTTCACTTGGGTACAACCGCTTTGCTCGAGCTTAAAATAAACCTTCACCTTCAAGCACAGCTAACAAACATCTTACATTCCAGTGTTCAGTTTATAAGGAAGTCACAAATGAGAAATTGTGTAATTATAGAAACTTCTTTGAAACTGTGGTTAATGCAAACATGTTATTAAATATATCTTTAAAATAAGAATTTCAGCAATACAGTAAAAACTCTGAACTCAACGTTTTTAAGACTGTACAACTGAACATGAAAACGCTTAAACATTTCACTGATATTTTTCTGCTGACATTAAAACTTCCTTCTCAAAAAAAACACAAGAATAAAATTTGATTTTGATTCAACAGTCATTATGAAAATTATTTTTGTCTCTTTTCCTGTCAAAGCCATGTCCTTGTGTGGAAGTCTTATAATAAGAGAAAAAGCAACCCCTGTGCTCTCAGTGATATATTCGTGGAAGAATATGATGTATGTAAATACCTTGCTTAGTTCTGAGAAAGCAAGCGACTGGAAGACCAGAGAGACAAGTTCCTTTTCAAACTGGGAAGAATTTTTAAAAATAGTGCCTAAGGCGTGTGCCTGGCTTTCTACTGAACGAGTAAGGCAAAAGGGAAATACGAAGAGCAGGGAGAAGTCATCATAAATGTGAATATTTTAAAGTCTTGTGGACACTGTAGGTTTTTGTATGGCTGTAAAAATAAGTTGTCCTCATTAAACCAAGAAACACTCAGCATATGGAGGAACTGGTTAGTTGCAAAGAGGCAGTGTCTTTTCACAAGGCTGCACAGTCACACTGAGCCTTTGGGCCACAACCCTATTCTTCTCAAGACATCAAACTGCCTCAGGCTGCCAGGGCTTTGCCTGCTGAGACATTGTGGGTTTATTTCTCTTGACACAAAATACTTCATTATTTCCTGTCTGTGCTGGAGTTATGTCTTTCTGTATTTAACCCAAAGCAGCAAAAGCCACCAACTCGCTTCATCTTTGGCTGATACAATACAGATTGCTTACAAGAAAGATGTTTAAATTCAGTGTATATGCATGGTATCTGTTACTCTAGATGTTATTGCAAAGTTGAATATTTTTAATCATACTGTATATTGTTAATGCTGTGAAAAATCTGACCCGAATGTAGTGTGTGTGTTTCATCCTATGAACGCACTTCTGACTAGCATTCTTCACATTTTCTAGGTGGTGCAGAACTCTAAGCAGCTGTGATCTTGTAACTGATGTTTTTTAAAAAATAAAATAAAAAGATGGTGTCATTTTTCTTGCTTTGGCCTATGAGGAAGGCCTAAAAGTGCACAGATATCTATTTTCCTTTTTACTTCTCAGAAGGATTATGCATCAATGGTAAAAAAATATTTGAGTTGAACTAAAAACTCTCTGCAGCCTCTAGGTGCTTACTTTTCAGTCTTTTGTGATTTCATTTCCTCCTTCATAACCAATCTAGTTCTCTTTAGCTGCCTTTACATCTAAAATAGTCTAAAATGTCAAATGTTAAAAAAAAAAAATAGAAAAGAAAAAGTGACAGCTTCCTCCCGCAGAGGAAGAAAGGACCCAAGCCTCATTTGTTTCTCCTCTTGCAGTTTGCCATGTTTTTTCAGAGAAACGACGCTGCCAGCACCCAAGTTTCTTGTGCTGGCAGTATTACCTGAAGGGTTATGCTGGTCTAGTGAGATACAGAGATGAGAGATGAAGGCATAGCAGAAGATATTTGTCCTGCTGAGAATCTAACCCCTCGACTCAAAGAACACGTGAATAGGATGCTTGTTACACACAGTGTGTGATTAAATCTGCAGATGCTTATTTTAAGAATGCCGTTAATATGTTTGACTTTGCCTCACGATACCTATGATGTAATGAAAGCCATGCTGGAAACATGCTGAAATCACAACCAATCTGCTGCTTGATAGGATTTTCGGCCTCAGCTCACCGCGCGGTGTGGGAAGATGAGGAGGGACGCTGGGGGAAGGTACACAGTGTCAGTTTGCCTAGACTTCTCGACCTTTCTAGGAAAACACAGCCGCTAGTAGTCATTTATTTACTACGTTGATTTACACCACTTGGCTTTTCTGTTGAGAACAGCACCAAATAGGCTAGTTGTGGCAAGTTTCCCCCTGCCAACATCCATCCACTGGGACATACTAATTTGCATCCTGGAGGACAGCGAATGACATTTTAACTAAGCAGGCAAAGTTTTGAACTGCAGGCTGTGTGTCCTAGCAGTGAGCTCACAAGCTTGCTTTATATCCTCACTAAAACTGTATCCATTTGGATTTTACCGTTTTCTTTCTCCTGTGGAACGTATTTCTCCTCTGAAGTGCCATGTCAAAAAGAACTACTTGTATTTATTTTTCACAAAAGCTTTAAAAATTAACTCTTCTGTGTTTTTCAAGTGATTTACTTTGCACTAGGTGCTAAAGGCAAAGTTTAACACAGTCAGCCTTTTATGATATCAAATTATGGATGCATGTAGGAATAATAAAAGCCTACCTGCATTATCACTGCAAATTGATGTAAAATCTAGTAAAAAAAACAGAAATTACTCATACTAGCTGCATTTGAGACTTCTTCTTCCTTAAAAATCTGTCCCAACTTCCTTTCTCTGAGAATTGCACTGATTATTTTATTTTCAATAAAATACAAACTAGGTGGTCTCTCTCATTTGTGGTATGCTGCATACGTGTATCCTGGATAAAATCCTGGTGAAAACCAAGCTCTGCACATTTTTTGTCCAAGCCGTATGTATGAACATATGTTCCTTTTAGATGATGGAAAACTCATTACAACAATGTCTAAAGGTCAAAGATCTGTATGTAGTACCTGCAGCAGATTTTTATGCAAGTAATTTGATTGAACTGGATTAAAAAATTCAAAATATTTCATTTGCTAAAGTATGGGATTGATATTCTTTTCATCAATCCACTGAAAGTATTCCATGTAAATCTGAAAGCTTTTGTAATAATGAATTTTAAGCCAATTCCAGAAAGGTACTCACTAAGCTCTGTAGTCTCTGTCCTTTATCTAGTCTCACTGGATGACAGAAAAGATTTATAAGACCATTTTATAAATTAAGGTGATTCCCACTGACGGCCTTACTTAGTTTTACTTACATGCTTCTGCCCTGCTGATGCAAAACCAGCTGCTCTGAAAACCAGCCACACAGAGGAAAGCGTCACGTTATGAGCGGCTGTCGTCTTTGTGGTCATTGTTGGCTCAATGAGTCATGCGTTTAGTACAAATGAAACATGTAATGAGTTAAAGCCTATGTTTCTAAAAATGAGCAATGATGAATCTCTCATATCTTTTCAGCCACAAATATTTTTATTTTAATAAATCTTGCATTTGAATCTCTGTAAGGAATCGCTTAGCTGTAAAGAATCCAAATTGCAGCCTAGAAGTATGTACCACCCAACATTCACACCTGACAAACCATTGTGCTCACTCTCCTTATTCAGCTTGTGTAACTGTCACATTTTTAATCTTACAAGATCGCCACGTTGCATAGTCATATGCTGCTTGCTATCTTCAAAACTAAGACTTCCTGTGGCCACTTCATCAGTTTTCCTTGAGTATCGTGAGTCAGAGTTTCAGACTTTCGTTCTTTTATTTTATGGTAGAGGGACAGGAGGTATGGAGAATTTCATCTTCTACTTAGAAAGTCTGGTATTGGGGAAAAGAGAGCTTGATCCACATTTTTTCCCCACATGTAATGAGATGGATTGGATTCAGGAAATGAAACTGTGTAAATCTGTCTAGTAACTTCTGTTTTTCTTGTTTTCATGTCTCTCTTTTTCAGATCAATAACAAAGCTTGTGGCAAAGTTTTTGTGCCTCAGCAAGCAGCCCGCAATTTTGAAGAAGTCCACGAACTAGTTCTTCAAAGTGAACTTGGAGTCAAGCATCTCCAGGGACGAACCATTAAAAAGGCCTTTCTGTCTCCCAGAACTGCCCTTATCAACTTCTTAGTGCAAGAATAGCAAAGGCTCTGCTGGGCTGTAAAAGGGAACTGGAATCTTTCAAGATGAAACCAATTCAGAAGTACCAGTTATGGTTATTGAAATCTCATGTAACAGTGAGGAAGAAATGTTATTAAATTCAAGTTACTGCTAAATCTTCATTTCAGCATGAAGAAATGCGCAGAATTAAAGCTTCTTATGGGGTGGTGAGATGCTCTTTGTCCATGTTCTCTGGGAAAATGAGAAGGAAGCGCAGAAGAACTAATTATTGTAACAGAATGTAAATGATATAAAGCGCAGAGGTTTTAGTGTCAGTCTCAGGAATATTTCCTATTGGAAAGTTGGCTTGGCTAAATGCAGAGGCATAAATATCATTCCAGGACCAAACAACTGCCCAGAGCATGTGCTACACCAAATGTTAGGTGCACTGAAGTCAGTCTTTGCTCCCTGTATCTCATGTTTGGGTACCTTACTATCCACTAACATTTTAAGTTGTAAGAAAAGGTTACTACAGAGTGTTAGTTTCAAAACTGATTTGTTTAGCACTGGCCTTGGGCGCAGCAGATAGCCAGAATGTGGTGGTTTGATACATTTCACATACATTTCAGAGACAAGCCAAGAAAAAGGTCAGATTATTTAGTCAAGCCCTGCTTTATCCAGGATCCTCCTTCCTCCCTGGCACGTTTCTGTTGGCTCATACATGAGACATTCAACTTCAGCAAAGTGCTGGTAGTTGTTTCTGCACAGAACAGAATGGAAGTTACTTCTTAAGCATGATCCATCTCAGAGAGGGTTTTTTTTTGGGGGGGAGTGGGGGGGCTGCACATTCAAGAAAGGGATGAGTTGGCTGCTACAAAGGCAGCAGTGGGCAAGGCAGCATGGTTTTTGCCTAGTTCTTGTAGTGCTTAGATCGTAAAACTTGAATTGAAATTCTTTTTTCTGAGGGGTTCATTAAATGGAAATAGCCATCATGTTTCTAAAAATCAATCGGACTTTCATAAAACACAGCCATTCTCATGCCTCATTTCAACCTTTTTATTTGCACACTGTCTTGCTGTTTCATTCACATGGAAATGTTTATTGTATTTATCAAATGCTTGAAAAAGGGTTTCCAAAGAGACAATTACAGGGTTCATTGTGTAAGAATGTCTTTTTTTTAACAGCCATTAAACTAAGTAGTCCAATAAGCCAGCCCTTTATGAACATTCTGACAGTAAAGAAGTCGGCAGTAAGAACCAGCTAGGCAAATACTGCAGAGGTCTGTATTAACCCTCCAGCCCAGCCGTCATCCAGACTCTGTATTAGATTAAAAGGAAACCAACGAAAATCTCCCTCTTAGCAGTAAGTCAATCTAACAGATGCTAAGCCACTAGAATCAAGCTAGATCACGCTGCAATGTGAGTACTAGCTAAGCAATACTGATAGTCATTTTGATTCCATGCAGTTTTGGTACCAAAGACCTAGCTGCATAGCAGAGATTTCCAGGCACAGTGAGCAGATTCAATTCTAGATGTCCCTACTTCTTTAACAAAACTCAGTTCTGATTTCTGCTCCCTCCTGGAGCACGCTTGGGCAGATTTTCTCTTCGGCAGTCCTTTGACACAAGAATGACTAAGAAATGGAATATTTAGAATGAAGATACGGTCTTTGCAGTTTTAAGGCTCCAAAAATCTCAGCCACAAAGGAATGCATTCAGGCATTCAAACACAGGCCTTTAGTTGGAGTTAAAATAATTTGAATTCCAGTGTCCGCCTGACATATATGTTGTTATAAATTCATAAAACTGTTCAGAAGCCCCTAAAAGGACTGTGAAAGAGATCCTTTAAAGTAAAATCTGTAGCACAGCACAGTCCTGCTTTTGTTTCTTTTCCATCTAAAAGTTTAACACACCCTGTGGAACCATTTTAACAGAGTTTTTCTTTGGAGGAAAAGGTGACGTGTTTGATGTAAATAAAAACTTCTAAAATTTACAAGGATGAAGAAAGATGTTGTAAGCCCAGCAGCCCTACAGTGCCGTTAAACAAAAGCTGTAGTCACTCCAAGGCTGAGCAGCAGCCCGCACTGTTTATTGCTGTTAGCACTGGTGGGTATTTGCTCTGGCCAGAGGAAGCGAATTGTAGATGTCACTTGGTGATGCAGGCAAAAATCAAAATAAGGAATGGACTTGTACAGGCTAAAAAAGGAAAGGCAGCGAACAGCAGTTGTACAAAAAGTGTATGGTCAGAAGTCATGCCAGCGTGTTTACAGTAAGTTGAAATTCAGTGCGGTCTAGGGGATCCAAAAAGGGTGGTGGAAAAGTGAGAGACGAAGCAAAAAGTCTAACAGAGCCTATTCCCCTGGTAAGTGTATGTTTGGAAGATGGCAGAGGTGCCAGCTGTAGAGTTGTGCAGTTGTCCTGACAGCTGCTGAAACTTCTTATAAGGTTAACCTGCTCTGAAACGTGACTGCCATTTGTCTTGCGATAGTTGTGACTCACAGGTTTGCTCTGTGCCTAAATGGGACTGATACTGATACAGAGGCTGTAGCCTGTCATAGATTCATAGATTCATAGATTTCTAGGTTGGAAAAGACCTTAGAGATCATCGAGTCCAACCATCCCTAATCCCCATTAAACCATATCCTCAAGTAGATCATCCACCCTATTCTTAAACACATCCAGGGATGGGGACTCAACCACCTCCCTGGGCAGCCTATTCCAGTGGCTGACAACCCTTTCAGAGAAGAAATACTTCCTAACATCCAACCTGAATCTCCCCTGACTAAGCTTATGCCCATTTCCTCTTGTTCTATCACCCATCACTAATGTAAAGAGCCCTTCCCCCACCTCCCCAGCATCTTTTCTCAAGTATTTATAGGCTGTAATCAGGTCTCCCCTCAGCCTCCTCTTCTCCAGGCTAAACAGCCCCAACTCCCTCAGCCGCTCCCCATAAGTTTTATTTTCCAGCCCCTTGACCAGTTTAGTCGCCCTTCTTTGGACTCGCTCCAGGAGCTCAATATCTCTCTTAAAGCGAGGGGCCCAAAACTGGACACAATATTCCAGGTGCGGCCTCACCAGTGCCGAGTACAGGGGCAGGATCACTTCCCTGCTCCTGCTGGTCACACTATTCTTGATACACGCCAGTATCCCATTGGCCTTTTTGGCCACCTGGGCACACTGCTGGCTCATATCAAGCCGGTAGTCAACCAACACCCCCAGGTCCTTCTCCGCCAGGCAGCTCTCCAGCCACTCTTCCCCGAGCCTATAGCGATGCTTGGGGTTTTTGTACCCCAAGTGAAGGACTCTGCACTTGGCCTTATTAAAGCTCATGCCATTGGCCTCAGCCCAACGATCCAGTCTGTTCAAATCCCTCTGAAGGGCCTCCCTACCCTCGAGCAGATCGACACAGCCTCCCAGCTTGGTGTCGTCCGCAAATTTACTGAGGGTACATTCAATCCCCTCATCCAGGTCATTGATAAAGATGTTAAACAGAAAGGCTGTCACCCAGCCTTTTTAAAATAACTTACTGTAGATGCCTCTCATTTATTTAACAGTCGTTACTTGTGTCACAGTACAGATGCATCTTTATGCTGAAGGTGGTATAAAGTGTTGTCACAGATCGTGTGCCCTTGGAGAGTTCAGTGGCTAAATCATAGAATCACAGAATGGTTTGGGTTGGAAGGGACCTTAAAGATCATCAAGTTCCAGCCCCCCTGGGAGTTTTAAGTCTGGGAGGGAATACTTGAGAAGCAAGAAGAAAAGGTACTGATGGGCAATCAATCGAATTGCACTGCATTCCTCTTACGCATTAAAATGGGTACGGTGCCACTGTCCTTATTCCATGAAGTGATGAGCCAAAGAAGATGCGAGAGACTTGCTAAACCCAGCGGGATAGACCCAGGACAAACTAAGGAACAGATCTACGACATGGAAGGGGCACTTTCTGCATCCTGTCACAGCACTGAACCAGTCTGTATCATATTTCTATTTTAAGTAATGTAAAATTTAAAAAATAATTATTGGCACACTTTCTACCCCAAAATCATTCATGCAACTGAATTTCCAAAAAGTCCAGCCTTCAAACATTGATTCTGGAAAAATAAAAATTGGCAAAGTCCTGAAAGGTTACTAAGTACTTTTCCAATACCACTGATTTCATGAGAAGCATCTCAGATGCTAGGACAATGGAGGCACTGAAATGTCCTGGAAGATGCTATCGTGGAGAAAAATGTCTTATTACGTGTAGGTGTTCCATAGGCATCTCCAATGACTGAGATCACATGGACAAAGTGCTTTGCAGCAAGGCAATAGTGCTTTTTATGTCATGTTAAGGAACAATGTTACAGCTTAGGTCAGTAGCTAAGGCAGTTCTCTAGCCAGGTTGTCCCATCTATGCTTCGAAAAAAAAAACCAACTATACAGGGGTGTTGCTGAACAAGCATGTATTTTTCCATGCCCTTCACCAGAATCTAAACATGGAGATTTGGTGCAAAATAAAATCTGTGCGCTCTCCTGGTGACTTACCAGATTAAAGTAATGCCTCAGAACTGACATCTGGTTAATGATGGCTTTTTCTGATCTGACTTTGTAAAAGCCTGTTTGTTCCTTCTGGAGGAAGAAATTCCACAGATAATGCAGGTCATACAGTCTCTTTTCTTTGTCTCTTCTTCTTCAGTGTAAAGCTTCACAGAAAGCTACTCCTCTTCTCTAAACTTTTTACAATCAACATGAACTAGGAAGAATGTTAATAGGCACTGTGCTGGTTTTTTCTTCCTAGGGAAGTTTGCAGTATATAAAGTTTTTCTAGAAGCTTGGCTATAAATGAGAAATCACAGGGAGATTTTCTCCTGAAAAACGGGGGAGAAATCACAGGGATTTTTTTTTCTAGTTTTGCAATATGTATTTATTTACATATTTAGTAAACTCCTCTAGTTTACAGAGAGGAGATTGGCTTTATTTACCAACTTAAATTTATTAGTGTATTTACTAACTGAAGAGTATATATGCTGATTTTGTTGGATGCTTTTTCTTGCTGCTTTATTTCTTCAGTCCTCTCATATTCTGATCTGAGCTGATTTTGTATCAAAGGATTGTGCTGTAAGAGAAGTGTTTAATGCGAAGCCAGGTCTATCACCAGAACTTCTACTACTTCTACAGGGCTACTTAGCCCACTGATTTCTATCAGTCCAGGTAACGTCTGCTTTTGACTTTAAAAAATGTTACTGGTATTA